GCCAGCAGGAGAAATGGAAAAAGCAAGTCTTGAGCCATGCTACAGTGTGGACGGAGCTGAAAGACACGATGCTGAACGACATAAGCCGATCACAGGACAAATGTCGTATGACCTCACTTATGTAAAAAGACAAAAAAATGCAGCACAGAATTTCTAATTCTCAAGGACTCTTGACTCCCTGGAGCCATGGAGAGTAGAGGAACCCCTGAAACGATTGCCCTGAGATCATCTTTAAACCTTAAACCAAAACCAGCCCTTGAAGTCTTCTTGAAACCAAACAACAGTCCAGCCTCTAGTGAAGAAGCCTGTCGGGGCACTGTGCTCCTTTGAGGTCTGTCTCCATGGGGTCAGACTGACCACAGCAGCTCGAAAGATCCGACAGGATGCTTAGAGGGCAGTGAGCTTATGTTAAGGGCGGAGGAACGACTCAGAAAAAGGGGGGGAGTGGACACGTGACGCGACGAATGCCAAGGCCACTCACCGTATGTGGACAAACGGCGGATTGGTATATTTTTGCTGTGGAGATTCTCACCGCCAACAACAGCATCGATAAAATTTCAGAGAAAAAAGAGCCTCCGGCCACTGGCTTCGTTCCTGGACACGAGCCGCTCCCTGCACGGGCCCCTCCCTCCACCCTGCAGCCAGCCTCTCCTAGGATCATCCTACCTGGACCTGCCACACCAAGTCTCTCAAAGGCAAGTGTCCCACTTTCTGCCCCTCAGCTGCTGCCCCCACGTCCCCCTTGGCCCCTCCTTCTTTGACTCAGTGACAACATCCATTCCTGGTGCCTGTTTTCTCCTCAGGACCCTGCTCATGTCTTCACTGGCTTTTCCAATCCAGCCTCGACCACACGGTCCCTCACTTCATCCCTTTATCATCCAGGGCCTTGACTCTTCAGGCCTTGGAGCCCCAGAGCAGTAGGGTTTTTACACAAGGAATGTTTTTACACAAGGAATGTTTTTACACAAGGAATGTTCAGGAAATGCAATGGGAAGCAAGGAACAGGCCAACTCCAAGGGTTCTGGGGTGTGGACAAGTGAGTAGTGCCTGTTCTTATGGGGCACGGCCAGCTCTCCAGTGGGGAGGTTCCGAGGGAGACCAGCCGGGGAGGGACAGGGAAGTCAGCTCAGGGCAGGCAACCCACAGAGCAGGGAGGAAAGAAGACCAAACAGCAGACAGAGGGCCTCACATTCTGGGATGTGAGTAGTGGCGGTGGCAAGGGGTCAGTCCTATCAGTCCAACAAAGTCCTAGGCCCTCCTTGTCACCCGTCGTCAGGGACACAGCCTCCAATAGGCAAGGGGACACTCACTGTGGACAAAGGGCGAGACCTACCATCGCTGGCCCTGCTCATCTTGGCAAGTGCTGGCACTTTACTGCTCTCTGCAGGGTCCCTGGAGGTCCGGGCAGCCAAGAGCAGGGCCGTGGAGCGGGAGACCTGGCAGCCCGCCAGCCCTCACTGGCAGCAGGCATACGCCCCTGGAGTCCTGGGCCAGTGGGCTGCCAGCACGGTGCCCTCAGGACAAAGCTGAAGTCTCCCCACACTGATAAACGCCTCCTCTTCATCCCCTTGGCAAACCACTCCTGCCCGCCAGCCCACAACACTCTCAGCCTCCTTGCAGCATGTGGCACCCTCACTCGCCACCAGCCAATGGGGACAGAGCAGGGCCCAACACACAAAAGTCCCTGCCCTCACGGAGTTCACAGTCCAAGGCCGGGGGGAGAGAGATGAGAAACCAGACAGAGGTGTGCAAAAGCGGTGTGTTTGAGGGAGCAGAAGGGGGTGGTGGGCACGCTTCCCAGAGGGCTCAGCAAAGCTCAGGGAGAAGGGACCGCCCTGGTCAAGCCAGCGGCGTGTGCCAAAGCCCTGAGGCAGGAGGCCACCTGCAGCCTGGAGGCCGTACCAAGGAGGCCAGGATGGCCTCAGCAGGCAGAGGGGACAGGAGCTCGTCACCATTTGGAAGGTGACTGACTAGAAGGGCCACTAGGCAGGACTGGATCAATCGGGCCCAGCAGAGGCTCCGGGACACCCCAGGCCTTCAGGGTAGGGCGGCTGCTGCCCGCTCCAGGCTGTGATCCACCAGCGCCTGTGCCCCTGCCCCACCAAGAGGCAAGGCCACCCTTTCTGTGCAGGCCCAGTGGGATCCTTGCCCTTGGGGTGAGGTACACAGATAGGGACAGAGACAGCCGAGGGGCACGGAAGCCCAAGGTGGAGATGCCAACAGGGAGAAACTGAGAGAGACTTTGGTTTCTGGACGGAGCCAGATTGTCTACGCACATAACTGAAACCTTCTCAATAGCAAACGTCAATAAAAAGATGGAAACCGCCTCAAGGCCCATCCACGGACGAATGGATCCACAGACTACGGTCCAGACACACACAGTGGAATACTACGCAACGTTCAAAAACAACGATGAGTCTGCCGACACGGATGGAGTTAAGAGACCATGATGCTAACTTGGGTGAAGGAAAAGGTAAGGAAAGAAAGTGATAAACAAGGTTGACGGGGACAGCAGTGCCACCAGCTAGCACTGAAACCAAAGTAGAAGCAACCCCTTCTCAGATAAGGAAAAACCAAAGTTAAAAAAAAAAAAAAAGCCAGAAAACATCTTTCTGAAGCAGAGCTCTGCTTGAAGGGAGGACAGGGCTGGAAAGAGAGCAGCCGGCAGGAAGGGCCGCTTTGAAATCCTGACACAGGGATGGCGGAGGACACGCTCCGTGAGCTGGAACCTGGGCCCCGGGGGCAGGGAGCACGGGGTTTCCTCTGGTGGCGTGTAAAGAAATGCCTCTTTCTTCCCTTAGGCATCTGGGGTGCAGACGAATACGATCTCCACATCGAGGACCCCCCAGCTGCAAAATCAACGCGGAAACGGGGCCCGCCTCCCATGACCCCTGGGATCGTGGTGGTAACAAAAGCAAAAATGCGTGACACAGAAACGACTCAATAGATGGAAGGTCAGCAGAGAGGACGGAGCTGGGTTAGCTTCCCGGACCCTCAGGAGAGAAATGACAGGGTAAGGATGATGACTGGGACGCTCACTGCCGGTGAGTCGATTACGACTCACAGCACCCCCAGAGGACACCTGCATGGAAGCCAACTGCCTCATCTTTCTCCCGAGAAGCGGCTGGTGGGTTTCAACTACTGACCTTTGGGTTCACAGCTGAGTGTTTTATCCACTGCGCCACCAGCAGTCCTGATTCCATGATACAAAGAGTAGAAGAGACAAGTCAAAAAATGAGGAAATGAGACGCTCAAAACCCCAACAGGTTTGAGAAGGAATCAAACTGTCATTTTGGACAAAAGAAATGAAAAATCACTGCAGAAATAACACAGTAGAGACTCGAGGCTGTTGTGGTTGATTCCACCTCACTGCCTCCCTGCATGACCAGCAGAACTGCCTCAGGGGGTTTCCAAGGCTGTTGTCTTTACAGGAGCAGCTGCTGAGTTTGAATTGCCAAGCTTTCCGTGTGCAGCCGCGCGCTTCACTACTGAGGCACCAGGGCGCCTGTCACGGAAATTTTTCAAATTGGACACGGCTGAAGAGAAAATAGGTGAATTAGTGAGTCGAAAAAGCACCTACAGAAATTTCCCCCAATTCTGCCCTGGTGGTACCAGATGGGAAACAGTCACAGGAAACGAGGAGCCCCACACAATAGTGCCCAAGAGAGGTCTAGCATATGTGCCGCAGGAATTCCAGGAGGAGAGAGTCCAAGAGTGAAGGCGAGGCAGCACTGGAAGAAATGCTAGCCGAGAACGTTCCAGAATGCCTGGAAACCCTGAATACTCCGAGAACATTACACATCTCAAGCAAGATCCAGAAACAAGAACCCACACCCGAGCACGTCATAGGGCAACCACCGGGGAGAAGAGAAGATGCTAAAGGCACCAGAAGACGACGCAGATGACCAGAGGCCAAGGGAACCAGCTCAGGAGTGAGAAGCTAGCGAAACGCTGTCAAAGGGCTGAGAGACGACAACCGCCAACCTCGGCTTCCACGCAGCAAAAGTTTAATTTGGAGCTAAGGGTGAACGGGAGCTCTGGTGGCCTAGTGCCTAAGGCACTTGACTGCTAACCAGAAGGCTGGCAGTTCAAACCCACCAGCCACTCCTCAGAAGGAAGGTTGGGCAATCTACTTCCATAGTGATATACTGCCTCAGAAACCCAAGGAAGGGTCTCTATGAGTCGGGTCTGACTCCACGGCACATAACAACAACAGGGTGAAATAAAGACACTTTCAGACAGGAAAAGCGTGCTTCCCTCGATGAAACCGTGTAGCTGTAGAAAGTAACTGACACAAGACAAGAGGACTGAGACGCACGGAAGGAGCGGTGGCGAAGAAAGTGGCAAATGTGGGTCCGCCTCCAGCAAAGTCTCAGAACAAGGGGCCCCACCACACACCGGGGACTGGTTCTTGCAGGAGGGGGAGCCACTGACTAACCTACGCCTCTTTTGAGGAATACACGGGGACGTTTTCACAGGTCACCACTAAAGACAAAAAATAGGACGTATGCCTTCCAGACCAGGAGGGGGCCAAAGAGGGAAATGGGAAACTGAGACTGCGACCCCTGCCGCAAGGCCTCTGCCCAGGCCTCTCCCTTCACAAGCCAGGGATGGAAAAGGAAGGCCCTGAAGGCACCTTAGTCAATCAGTGCTGCTCTGCTCCTTTCAGCTTCCCCGGTCCAAGTGGCAGCGGGGACAAGGGCAGGGACACGTGAGCCACAGTGCACGTGGGTAGTCTCCTAGTCTAGGGCTTCATTCCAGGGCTTCCGAGCAGGCCATGTTTCTAGAGAACCAGTCTGAGTCGCAGGGGTAGGGGTCTGCCCAGTGTCCCAGCACTGGGGCACATTCCAGTCTCCCATTCCAGGGCTTCAAGGGACACCTCATGGTGTAGTGCCTGGGCCTGGCTGTGCGTGGCACTGTGAAGCGAAAAGGCACGAGGAGCCGACCAAAGGGCCATCTGGGCTCACCGCCCCACCCCTGCCCCAGAGCCGGGCACTCACCTGCCTCGGAGTAGCCGGTGGCAGTGATGATGGGGACAGCCACCATGAGCAGGCCTGAGGCGCTCCACACGTACTTCATGAGGAACTGCTCCAGCATGACGTACCACAGGCGCTCCAGCAGGATGAGGTTGATCTGCGAGGCCAGGTCCTGGTAGGAGAGCCGTAGCAGGGCCAGCTCCACCTGCAGGGCCACCAGAGAGCCAGCGGCTTCATGAGCATGGCCGGGCCGGGGGACAGCCCAGAGGCCCCCGGATGCTGCTTATGCTGGCCATGCCATTCGATGCTCCTGACGTTACAGGCGTCCGAGCAGGCCGTATTTACGGAGAACAGGTCTGAATCTCGGGTAAGCGTTTGCCCAACATCCCAGCAGAGGCACAACAGTGGTGACTAAGGGATTCACCCTGACCAGAGCTGGGACGCTCACCAATCCCTTCTTGGCCCCAGGCAGGGCTTCAAATCGGTTATTCCTGGTTCAGTCACGGCCAACAAAGAGAAACTGGAGTGGACTCGAATTTGTAAAATGTAGGTTTACAAGAACGATAACTGGAACGGGAAAAATTACAGGTCGACATCCTACCAGAAATGCAATCTTCCTCTTGGAAAACAAGAGCAGGATGCGCATTGCCTAGCAAACTTGGCCAGCTGAGTTGGAAACAGCATTGCCCTACTCAAACATGGCAGCCAATCATACTGTTTTGAATGGTGTGATTGTTGCCACAGTCCTGACAATAATCCAGTTTCCTGCATCAGGCTCCTGAAAGGGCTAACTACACCTCTTCTGAGTCTCCCATGCCAGGGCTTCAATTCATAATTTTTCCCATCCCACTTCCCCCAAATTTTAAAAATTTGGGTGTGTTCTTATTTCACTTTATCAGCCATGACTGAACCAGTTTGGTCCCAGGCAGCTTCTAGCCTCTGTCGAGCCCATTCTCTAGGCAATTGCTTGGGGGGCTTCCTCCCAACACCCTTCTCCTGCCCCTGACACCCAGGCACAGAGACAAACAGCAGTGTGGTGGCATCCTGGTTTTGACAACCTTGAGCCCACAGTCTCTCCCTCCCCAGGCACTGCCCCAGCAGCCTACTTCCCCGTGCTTCCTAGTGGTGAGAAACTTGTACCACATTTTCCCTCGGAACCATGGGGGTGCACCCCCGCAGCCAGCCCTTCAGCCTTGCTCCATATTGGACTGCCCCAAGCCCACTGCCACCACCTGCCATCTCAGTGTGGGGATAGGGGCTTCAGTGGGTGAGTCCTGCAGGGCCTGGAAAAGAAAGAGCAAGAGCGAGAGAGGAGAGGAAGAGGGTTCCTTGTGGCAGCAGCCGCTCAACAGACTGGGAGGCATGGAAGTCTCTGGAAGTGGTCATGGCGAGGGGGCCACTGGGTTGTGGATTTCTTGCCTCAGTACAGGGACCCTCTGGATGCCCAGCTTAGCTCCTTTGCCAAGTGCTTTCAGACCCTCCTCGCCATTTGATTCTCACACTGTCCCATTGAACGTGCTCACTGTGCAGTAGGTGGGTGAACTCCGGCAAGGCAAAGCACCTTGCCTGAGGTCCCACAGCATGGAGGTAGCAAACAGTGCTGGGATTGGCCTGAGCGTCTAGGAGAACGAGACTCTTAAATGACGCTCTCACTCACTAAGAAAAGCTTAACTTGTTCTCAAACAAATGACTCTGTGTGTGTGTATGTGCGTGAGAGAGAGAGAGAGAGAGAGAGAGAGAAATGCGCACATGTGCGCACACGTGAAGTCTCAATGAGGACAGAACGGTCAGCTGCAGAGCCTCCACTGGCCGGACACTTCTGCCCTACCTGGAGATCAGAGCCTGGGTGACCTCCTATTCACCGAAACGGGCCAAGAGGAACTCCTGCAAATGACCACACGTTTCTCCTTCCCAACCCCACCCCATCCCTCAGACTGCATCGCCTGTTCCTGAAACTAGCCAGCACCCTGGCAATCCAGACTCGTGCTGCGAGCTGGCAGCAGTGCCAGCCAGGGCTGACAATGTAGCCACGGGGGATGTGCCAAGTGCCTCACCCAAGGCCATGGCTGCGGCTGCCTGCCAAGGTGCCGCCAGCCCGCGTGCGCGTGCGGGAGTGGAGGAGTAGGTCACAGCCCAACACCACACACTTATTCCCCTGATCAGCAGCCAGGTCCTTGGCCGGGACTCCCTCTCTGTGGAGGAAGATGGGGACAAGCCATTTTGGTCTGGGACGACTCCACTCCTGGGCCGGATGCAAAGCCACCGTGTGGAGGTTGGGCCCCCGGGAGTGCACACAGGCCTTCAGGGGCTGGAGGCCACCGCGCCCCTCCCCCCCGGAGAACTGAAACCAGCGTTTCAGAGAGCAGGGCTGAGCCAGCTGCCACCTCAGGCACGAGGAAAAGGAGGGGCGAGGCGAGATCAAGGGAGCGCCAGCCGCGAGTAGCCTCGCCGTGCGCCCCCGCGGGCCGGCCGCCCAGGAAGCTGCACCGGACTGGGCGGAAGGGCGGCCACGCCAGGGGCAGGCCAACAGGAAGTGCGTCCCGCCGTGGCGGCGGCGGGTCCGTGGGAGCAGCTGTGACCCTGAGTGCCGCCACCTCCGCGCGGAGCACTGCTTGTTAAGCTCCGCGTGGGCTGAGTCATGCCCATAATGCCGGGCCGCTGGACGCGGGCCCCAGGCTGGCCTTCAAAGGGCTGAGGGGCTGGCCAGGAGGCTGCGTGTTTCGTTTGTCTTGCTCCCAGATGGCAAGAGCCGCCGTTGCCCCGGCCGGCTGCTGCAGGAGCTGGCGAGGAGCGAGCTCGGGACCTGAACCGCTAGGATCCGCAGCCCAAGGTGCCTGCCGGGAGCGCTCAGGAGGGAGGAAGCAGAAGTGGCCTGAGGCATTCAGGCGGCTGGCACCAGGCAGCCCCCAGTGGCCTTCCTGCTTCTCCATTTCTGTGGCCAAGTCTACCCGCCCAGGGTCCCACCCATCCTCAGCCCCATGTCCCCACCCCGGCCCTGCCTCCCAGTACCCCAACCTGCCCCACCTCGTGGCCCCCATAGAAGGCAATCTCCTCTGAATTGGCCACGACACGAGAGTGCATGTAGCGTAGCTCCCCCTTCCGCCGGGCCTCTTCTGCCACCAGCTCCCCAAACTTGGGGGAGAAGGCCCGCAGGATGTTGGCTGTGAGGAATACCACGAGGCCGGCGATGGCCGAGGGCCAGGCTGTGCCAGCCCCACGGGAGCGGGCTGCCCGGAGCAGGGTGTAGGAGGTCACGGCCACGTCCAACAGTGGCTTGGTCAGGTTGGAGTAGAGGTGGGCCACAGAGGCAGCAAAGGCCACCACATCCTCTGTCAGGGACTGGTCAGGGTTGCGAAGGCGCCCGTCCATGTTGCTGACTCGATAGTAGGTCTGCTGGGAGAAGTAGAGGCCATAGGCATGGGCAACAAGACGGCTGCGGAAGGAGAGGGCCAGCTGGCCCTCCAGGTAACGGATGGCACTGTTGACGAAAGTGGCAGGTAGGGCGATGAGAAGCCACTGCAGGAGCTGCCAGCCGAAGGCCCGTGGGTCCTTGCGGACGATACAGCGGGCCAACCGTCCGTCCAGGCGGGCCACGTAGACCGACAGGAAAGTGCGGCTCACCAGAGCAGCCGAGTGCAGGGCCAGCAGCCCCGTCTCCCGGCACAGGACCCGGGGGAAGAGCAGGCGCAGAAGCCACAGGAGTCGCTGCAGGAACACCCGGTTCACGCTGGCCTTGGCCTCCTGCAGGGGCTGCCCCACCGGCCCCAGGGTTCCCCTGGCGGGAGCCAGACACTGCCGCACCAAGGGGTAGAGTTTGTGGGCTCCATAGGCGGTGAGAGCCAGGACCACAGCTGTGCGTTTCAGCGTGGTCACCCTCGAAGGCCGAGGGGTGGAGAGCACCGGCA